GGAAGCTTAATAAATGTATTTTGTTGTTTGGTTACATGACTGAGACTGCTGGAAGCTTAATAAATGTATTTTGTTGTTTGGTTACATGACTGAGACTGCTTGAAGCTTAATAAATGTATTTTTTTGTTCGGTTACATGACTGAGACTGTATTGGATGAGTGCATATTAAAAAAAACACAATAGTAACCACCTGGATCTGTATTGGATGAGTGCATATAAACAAAAAACACAATAGTAACCACGTGGATCTGTACTGGATGAGTGCATATAAAAAAAACAACATAATAGTAACCATGTGGTGGTATTCACCAGACAAGGGGTTTCAACTTTTAAACAAAATCAATGTCCCTAGTTAAAGCTAGTAGCTTTAAGAACTTTCATATTCACTTCTACATGCCCCTAATACTTAAACCAAAATATGTACAAACATAAATAAAACAAAACAGTTGACCAAATTGTTAACAGTGTTGTAACTTGGCAAGAGCATAGCTAATTTTCTGTCCAGAGGTTTTATTTTCCCTGAGCAAGGATATATTGTGAAACTCAAGCATGAGCACCTTTCCTTGTGAACTGGCCATTTGCAATGTTTGATGCAGTCAATCAAAACCCTAAATTTTAATATGTTATGCAATACTTATTGGAAGTTAAACGTAAAACTTTCTTTTATTCATCATAAATAGATTAAAAAGAACTTTTATTATTTATCACTTTCAAATTAATGAATACGTGTTCAAAAAGCTTACTTTCTCTTTCTGACAAATTTAACACATAACTACAACATGCTATCTTAATACAAAGACAACAAAATATCCTTTACTTATACTAATTATTTCTACTTTATATATATATATAGCAAAAAAACCTAGAATGACCTAATAAGTATTGTATTTCAGTTTATTTAAGTAGAAGTTTAATTCACTTAGTAGATAAGCCTTACTGCTTAACATATAAGCAATGTTATTTAAACCAACATATTCACATCTTATGCTATGTTCTCTTTTTTACCAATAAACACAACAGTCATGATATATTCACTGTTACTGAAACCATCATATTTACACCCATCATCAGATCTATTCATTTACTACCACTAAACACAATGAAGGTCATGGTATACTCACTATCACTGAAACCAGCATATTTACACCCATCATCAGATCTATTCATTTACTACCACTAAACACAATGAAGGTCATGGTATACTCACTATCACTGAAACCAGCATATTTACACCCATCATCAGATCTATTCATTTACTATCACTAAACACAATGAAGGTCATGGTATACTCATTATCACTTAAACCAGCATATTTACACCCATCATCAGATCTATTAATTTACTACCACTAAACACAATGAAGGTCATGGTATACTCATTATCACTTAAACCAGCATATTTACACCCATCATCAGATCTATTCATTTACTACCACTAAACACAATGAAGGTCATGACATACTCACTATCACTGAAACCAGCATATTTACACCCATCATCAGATCTATTCATTTACTACCACTAAACACAATGAAGGTCATGGTATACTCACTATCACTGAAACCAGCATATTTACACCCATCACCACGTATATTGTCTTGTTACCACTAAACACATAGCAAGTCATGAGTTTATAACTATTCTTGTGCCTAGTTTCAAGGTGCCACATTTCCTCAATAAGAAGACAAAATCTGTAAAAACATTCTGCCAAACTTATAATACTGATCGACAATGTGGCATGAACAGCTGGAAAAGAAAGAAGAAAGAGAAATGATAAGTCTCAAAAATTTTCCTCAAATAACTATCACAACATTAGTAATTTATATGCTACAGATTAAAATAAAACATTGTCTGTTCATTTAACATATTTAAAAATAAACTACCTAAATTACCCAATGAACATAAAACTCACTCCAATCTCAAATAATCATATCATCCAACTTTCTAACACATGTGTATGCAGTTTTTATGCCACATAAAAAGCTCGTAAGCTCCAACTTTTTTTAAATGAAATACCAGTTTAAAAACCTTTTTCAATTAAGTTTATTTTTGCTGCATGGGTAATATTTTAAGATTTCTTCATCTTACACAAAATCAGTCATTTCTAAATTTCTAAGATCATTAGTTTACACTTTTTAACACTTAACTCATTTTCCACATTCTGTCCCAATCACTAAAATTGTATGGGTACTTCTGAATAAGAGTTTTTTTTGGTTAAGTCAATAAATTAAACATATTTCAGTCCAAAGAGTTATACAAATAAAATCTTCCTTGCCAGCTTGTGAAATGACGTTAGGATTTGTATCATTTTATAATATTTATTTTATTATTTATCTGTTAACACACTAGAGGAGTTCAGTACATGCTCTCTTCCCTCCAATGTTAGATTCCTGTTGCAGTATATTTGTGAAGTCCAAACCACTGACACACCTGGATGGTGGCTACAGGTTTTACTTTTGAATTCATCAGTATAAACCATTGTGTATCAGTTATTATTTATTACTGTTACATTTTAACACCAGTAATATTTAATTTGATGTAACTTATAAATATTGTGTTTCATTTATCTTACTTTGATCTATATTAGTAACCATAAGAATTTCATACCTGTTTCCTGAAAGTTATAATCTGATTCAACTAAAAAAAAAATATGTTCTTTTTTCTAATACACAACTTATTTTTAGATGTAAATACAACAGAATAGCACTTCCACAGCAGAGTGAGCTATTGTTCATAAAAAGCCAATCTTTGCTAAAACTGAATTTTAACCAATGTAACAGCACTATGCCAGCATGTTCTTATGGCTAAACTCCGACACATTCCTTGGCTTGTTAAGAAAAATATCTACGATTAACAACATCAAAAAAGTCACCATACAAAAACACTGTGCAAATATTTTCAGTTATCAACATTTATGGAGAAAAAATTATTAACTATTTATCCCATAATATGTTTAAAAATTATAATGTTATTATACTAAACTGATATTTTATACGTTTTCAAACTATCATGAACCTATTATGTTTTTGTATGTTGTAATATGCAACTGAATAAGGTATGCTTTTCCTACAGACGTCACTTTTGTATAGCCTTCGGACTGATAGTTAATTCAAAGACTCATTGAAAAGATAAAATCCACATATAATATCACAAACTTACTAACTAAGACAACTAATTCTATAATAAGCCTATCTGAATTATGGTATGTAAGCATCTGGATGTGAAATTATCTCATATTTCAAACAGACTGAGTTATCTGATTAACATTTTTGATTTCTTACAAATTGTTTAATCAGATACTTTATCAATCACAATTTTCATTTAAACTTGCAACACAATATATTTTTCACATATAATTCCACTGTATTTTCTACCATTATCCCTGAATTTAGTTACAAATAATTGATATATATGACTTTAAACTCATTTGTCCAGTCACTTCTTATAAACAAACATTTACCATTTGAATAAATATGTCCCACCAACATTACCTTTTGATATCTATCATAGTATTTATAAATGTTCATAATATTTCAAAAGCATGTAAATATGACATACCTTTTTCGGTAAACACATCAGCCTCTATAACTTCAATTTTATGTGAAAAATTGATGCTTAGCCACAGAAAAAACATCAAAAGTGCAACAAGAATAGATGCAATTTGAGCTTTATTTTTACGCTTCTTGGGAAAAGTTCCGATACTGAAGTCACTGTTGTTCGAGGTTATCTCTTGCATGTTCCTAAGTACATGAAATTATTAAAAACTAGATAAAATTTTCATAAAGAAGATCTAATACAATAATGAATACACTGAAGCATGCATGTATACATAGGAAATTTCACGGTGACGACAATGGATCACCCCATTAAGTATTGCCACAATGTACCTGCCCTACAATTTAAAAAAATGTTTAAAATTGACTATTTGACAAACTTTTTGTGGAACTAGCATTACATTAACTACAAATTAAATGTTTGAATGGAATATACATATATATAATCAGAAACATAGAACAACAAGGAAGTAAAAATCTCAAAGGAATATCTCATTGCAGTAGCAAATGTTGAAAATAATAATAGTTGTAATAAATATTCAAACATTTATTGTTTGTATAATCTATGTAGATAGGGGAGACAAAGTGGGATGTCTTTACACATAGTTAAAACCTAAAAGTTACAACCTAGTAATAAAGTCAAGCATTCCATTAAAGAATGAGATGAGCATTTCTGACATCAATTGTTAAACTATATTGCCTCTTATCTGGTCTATGTGCATTCTGTGTTTCAAAAATTATATTCAACATTTTCTGTTAAAAAAATCATACATTCATTAAGAAAATTCCATGGATAAAATTATTCAATTATCTCTACACCCAGCAAACATACAATAATAAGCCACAATACAATGTATACAAACTTTATGTAAGTTACTAATATCAACAGAATAACAACAACATTTCACTCCTTACAGCAGGGTAATAATTTGTAAATGTTCAATACATATTTATAACATTACACAATATCATGCATTATTATCCACAATTCTTTAAACAAATGTTATAATGTTCCTAAATGAAAATGTATTTCTGATAGGTACTTCCCTCCTCTTACAAGATTAGCTTTTCTCATTTTGTGCTGCTCTCTGTATGCAAACTTTTTCGGAAACACATGCCACAAGCCTTCATCATCCCTCTGTTGGAATCCAAAGTCCCAACACATCTCATGCAAATCATCAAGCGTTACCTCTCCATCAATAGGAGATCACTACTATCACATGACGCATGTGACTCCCACTACCAAACTATCACTTTGGCAGTCGCAAGCACCGGAAGATTGTGAGGAGGAGGGGAGGAAAGTAACTACTGGAAATATATTTTCATTTAGAAAAATTATAACTTCCGATAATGGAGGAGGGAGTGGTGCAAGGGAAGCACAGGCTTTTCTTCCGGAAGCACCCAGAGGACAAAATGAGAGGAACAGAACCAAACATGGTGTAAAATGAAAGCAGCACATCCGCGTGGGCGAGGATAGTTTAGCAATGTGATCTTAAACAGAAATCAGAATCACTCAATCCCACAATAGAAAGTGGGTAAGTGAGGATGTGTCCAATGGCATATAGTGGCTATGGTGTGATGGATCATACCTGGTAAGTCAACTACATCCAAAACCTCTCTCAATGGGTACTGACATCCTCACGAGGGTAGGATGAGGATCATACTGTCTTCACCTCAAGTCCCAGATTTAGTTAGGAAACTAATAATCGACTCCAGCAACTCACAAGGTAACCTAATGCTAGGGATCTGGGAATGTGTCATCCAGAATCAGAGAGAAGTCCATCGCATGCATTCAACCACCATGATTGTGAAACCAACCCAAAACAAGCCCAGGTTGGTAACAACCTCATCACCCTGTGAGGGAAAAACCAAGAATAGAAGTGGAAACAGGCCACATAAACCTTCAGTGACCCACAACACAGAAGAAAAGTCATGAGGGGAAGATGGACAACATGAAACATGTGTGAGGACTTATAGATTGGTTCACTTGATCTCCAAAACCTCACTCACTGGGTACCAGCATCCACATGAGGGTAGGAGGAGGACACCCAGTCAGAGGGGTGAACTGCATTTGGGCATCTCATATCTGGGAATTAGTTACTCATCTGGAGGATCTTGTAACTCCTTCTACACTGGCAGAACACCACCACCCTACTCTGAACTGAACATTTGTGGAACCCATCCAGCAAGCTGCCTCCATGGTCAACCACTTCAGTGACTTGGAACTGGTAAGTGGTAAGGACTCCCATACTGCACTTCAAAAAAAGGAGAAGTAGTGAAATGGAACTGCAACACATGAGACAGTGCAATGGGTAATCACAAAACCCTATTTTGAAAGGAAAACCACTCTTATTTATTCAATCTAAGCATGCCAGGGATGGACAGCAATCCCCTTCTGTTTCACCCATGCCATCCATGGATGGTACAGTCTTGGACGGGCATATTATGATGCATTTATCACAAGGAATTTACACTCTAGTGATCTTGTGAAACACCCCACCTCAAGGGTGGGCATACGTAGCAATGGAAAATGTATAAGAATCAACATGGCTTACTGTGTGGATTTGATAGCAAAATGTCTGCTAATGGCTACAGTCATCTAAGGGAACCAGTTCCAAGTACAGACAGAATACCTGGTCAGGCATTAATCGACTTTAGTCGAATTCCAGCTAGAATGCTGAATGTGACTATGTCAAATTTCTGACATAGTTCCATTTACTGGTCTGTAATTTACTCCATGCTACATCTGCATAGTTTCTAGGCAACCACAATGTAATTTAGTGTAATTTCCTTGGTCATGGATGTTATTTTTGTGAAATTCTTGACTTTTGACCCAATTTGAGGGCACTGACCAGAAGAAATAATGTGAGATTCAGACTCAGAATTGAGTGAATTTGGTAATGATGATTGGGAAAACAGTGATACAGATACCAATAATGCTGTAAGTAATGATAATACACATGATACAGTGCACAGGGACAGTGATGATGATGATAGCCATGGGGACGTGGCTGATGCTGATCATGAGTGTGTCATTGATGATGATTATGACAATTATATCCCAATTTGGTGCCCAGCTTATGCCAAAAGTCCAACACTTTGCCTGACATTAACCACCGTGTAGATTATTTCTGCTTGTTATTCCCTCAAGAAGTATTTGAGCTTATTTGTGAGATGAATAACATCTACACCCTGGAGTTCTTTGATAATCTTGCAGACCTCCCTGAAAATTCTCGCTACAATGATTGGACTGAGTGTACTACAGATAATATCAAAGCCTATGTTGGCTTGCAGATAATGATGGGATTGTGTTCCAAGCCAAGGATTAGTGACTACTTGGCAACTGGGGGTCTAGCTCAGTCCCCTGGTTATCGAAATGTATTGCCATGCAATCATTACCAGCTGATCAGCTCGTTCCTTCATTTTTGTAAAAATTCTCAGAGGGTTCCATGCGGAGAGGAAGGATATGATCCTTTATATAAAATTTCTCCCCTCATGAACATTGTGAAGCCACTGTATAAGCAGTATTACATTCCACATTGTGAACTTACAAATGAATAATCGATGAGGAAATTCAAGGGACGGATATACTTTCATCAGTACATATCAAACAAACCCACAAGGTGAGATATAAAACTGTGGCCATTGTGTGAGAGCAAGTTGGGTTATCTGTTAGACTGAGATGTTTATACTGAGACAACAACCCTGAGGCACCAGAGCAAGGCTTGGGTCATAATGTTGTTATGAAACTGATGGGCAATAATGGATACTTGAACCTCAGCCACCATTTATATGTTGATAACTTCTACTTCAGCCCTGGCCTCTTTGAAGCCCTCAAGGAACAGGGTACTGGTGCCTATGGAACTGTGAGATTGAATAGAAGAGCACTTCCTGACGAAATTAGGCCAGCAAAGTTACAGCTGATGAAAGGTGATGATCCTGTTTATTACAGAAATGGTGATATGCTTGTCTGCTCCTGGTATGACACTGCAAGGGTCAACTTTCTCTCGACAATCGATAATAACGGCAACACTCAAAAACAAATTTGATCCAGAGACTAGATTTAGGGATGTGAAAAAGCCAAATGTGGCCTGCAATTACAATGCTTCAATGGGATGAGTTGACTTGTTTGACCAGAAATGTACCAGCTACCCATATCAACACAAATGCAAAAAAGTAGTACCACACAATTTATCAGTTCATCAGAGAGGCAGCACTAGTCAACTCTTATATACTGTATATAACTGCCAACCATAATTTAAAAAATGTTCATTCAGGAAAAAAGATGGCAACCAAATCTGTGCTTCTATTCCTCCGAATAAATTTGGAAAGAAAGGGAGAAGGTTGACGGATAACCCAGAGTACAGGGAGGAGTGGGGGGGGGGGGGTTCGACTTTCCAATGGCTTATCCACATCCTAAATACAAGCCTAGCTATGTAGTCTGCAGTGAAAGCCCTTCACATTCAAAGAGAAAGCAAATCAGACATGGATGCATGAACTGTAAGGATAGGAAGGGGCAATGCCTGCCCATGTGTCTTCCGGACTGCTTCACGAAGTACCACATGGTCAAGCATTTCAGATGTTAAAAGAAAAAAAGGTAGTAAAACAACATTATGTTTCCTCTAAAATGTTTCATTTATTATTTTAATGTTCTTTCCTAACATTTGCAGTGCATATATGTTCATTTTAGGGTGACTTGGGGATTTTAAAATAATGCATTTCAAAACAGGCATTTCTTGCCAAAAATTCCACCATTGTAGACAACGTTTCATAGAAAAAATTTGGCAGTGAAAGGACTTACCTCATGTCACAGCCATGTTAAAGTGTATAAAATAGCCATAGGCAGCAGGCAATACCCCAAGAAAGCAGAAACAGTGATATGGTGTAGGAAGTGGGAGATGAATGTGTGTAGAGTCATCCACATGCTTGATCACAGATTTTCCTCCAATTGCCGATGAAGACGAGAGGCAAGATAGAAGGTAAGGTGATAGATTTGATGTGAGGAAATGTGAAAGAGTTTATGCTGTGAAGGAGACAAGGAGAAATAGACCAACTGAATCAAACGTTGAACCCAATTGGTCAGGGCAACCAGGGAAAGATCATGGAAGAGAAAGGTTGCCAAGTGGTAAAGAAACGGTGGGAAAAAGGACCCCAGAAGGAAGCCATGCAAGCAATATAACAAAGGA